TTTCCCTTCGGGCTTATGATCAAATTTTCAGCGATATTAGAGATGAGTCATGTTCGGTAATTCAAGAGTGATGTTTCAGTTTAGAGTGCCTGGCTGCCATAAAAGGGTGTCTGAGAATATCAGTCATACTTGATTAGCCGTAGTTTTTCGGGTCGTAAAAGTAGCCAAAGCCTTCTTCTTGGCTCTTCTAAAGAACATTTCTTAGTGTCGAAACATAGATTCGTCTCTTTGACGTTTATATGTCCGAATTGGAGTTGTAGGAAGTAGCAGAAAGCGTGAATCTGCTGAAAAATGCGGCGAAAACGAGAAAGATTCCGGCACAAGAGGTGCTGAACGCTTTTACCGTCATCGAGAAGGCTAAAGTTGATCCATCCACATTCCTCGAAACACTCGGTGGATCTGAGTCGCCCGGCAGAACATGGATGCTGATCTTCACAGCTGAGGTCTCTAGTTTCGGCGGTCCAGTTTATCTGTCTTAAATATAATAATATCTCGTCTAGTTACTGAATGGTGTGATTATTGTTGTCATGTTTACATCACAGAAAAAACTGAAGAAGGGTCGGTATTTCCCTATAACGGCTGTTCAGAGGTTCGACGCTGCAGTAAGTTCCCCTTTCCCTGTTAATGTCTTTGCTCAAACTGGTTGTAATATGGAAAAAAAAAAAGAAAGATTAAGAAAACAAATGCCGATTTTCTTTTTGCACGTTCAATTCGACGTTTTTCACGTGGTTGTCAAATTTTGCATCCTTAACTACATCATTCCCAACCGGGTTTTCGATGTCATGGCAATGGCAGTACAAAACAGGAACCTTCTCCTTTCTGTTTCTTAAAGATGCAATGTTTTGGTGTATATGCTCATGGTTGAGATGATGTTATCTCTTACGTACGCTTGGACTCGAGATTTCGTTTACCCATTTCGGCACGAAACCCGGTCCTTTGTTAACATCTGAAAACAATGAAACATTACGTAATATCATCGTAATCTTCTCTATATCTCTCACAGTATCTTCATTTCGTGTGGTCTCAGGGCAAAAGGATTGAAAACGGGCTTTACCTCGGTCCAATAGGAGCTTTGACATTCGAAGGCCGGCTATCATGGAAGAATCGGATCCTCGCCTTCATATTCGAACGTGTCCGCATAAAGATTGGACCTTTAGACCCTCTAGAGATCGGATTAGACGATAAAGATACCGAGAGAGAGCCAAGTACTAAAGACCCTTTCTTCATTTGGTTTTACATCGATGAAGAAATAGCCGTTGCTCGTGGAAGAAGTGGCGGGACAGCATTCTGGTGCCGCTGCCGCCGGGTAACTTCTTGAACCCATTGGTTCAGAATCTCCATTCAAGCACAATGGCTTGAGGTTACTGCAGTAATTGTAATTATCTATCAGTATGAACAATGATAGTTCCTGTAAATTTCGGTTTGCTAATGTTAAATCGACTTATGGTCTTTCTTTGAAGCGTACCGAAAACTTACCGATGCAAAACCGAATAATCTCACGGTCTCGGGTGAATATCTATCCGGTTTTTTGGCTAACAGCAGCAAAAGTAGGATTCATTGTTTGGTTTGGTTTGGTTTTGTAGGAATTCAATGGCTATAGGATTCATTGTTTGGTTCAATTGAAAGTTGCGATGCTGTCCGGTTTAGGCTGGTTTTGTTCAATAACCGGTAAACCAGACCGGCCATTAAACGACGTCGTTTGCCATTACCCCAAAAAATAACCATCCCCGCTCCGCACTAACCCACTTTTAGCTGAGGGGAGCGTCTCTTTCGTTCTCTCTTCCAGTTTTCCGATTTCGTCTTCAAAAGCTCCAACGGCTAGATTTTCTCCATAGCCGGAGCTCCCAATCTCCAAACCCTAATTTTCAGTCTTCCCTGAAATCGATGTATCCACCAATTTGAGAAGTAGAGCAGAAACTAATTGCACAGTGAAACTTTTCTGGAAATAGACCTATCAGAGGATAAGGAGACACCGGTTTCGGAGTCACAATCTGAAAATGACGGAGGTGGTGCAGCCGAAGAAAGTCGCTGATAGGTATCTGAAGCGTGAAATTCTTGGTCAGGGCACCTATGGAGTTGTCTACAAGGCCACTGATACCAAGGTGATTTCTTGTGTAAATTCTTCACTTTTGTGGCGAGCCCATGAAATTAGGGTTTAGATTCTTCCCTTTTTTTTTTATTTTTTGCTCCGGGTTTTTGATTGTCCAGCGTTTCTGGTTTCCGTGTTTTGAGAGGCTTGGCATAGGTTCTGATATTAATGGCTGTTAGATGGAACTTGGATGTGGAAATTGCCGTCTCAGTTTGCTTATTACATTTTATCTTCGTTCTTCTACATTTTCCGCTAATTTTCTTTTCGGATTTTGTAATGCCTTGGTGTTTGGTTCCTGGTTCGAGAGATTTGATTCCAATGTTGCAAACGCTTGGGGTTCGGTATGCGTTTTGGCCGCGTTTGAATCAGTTGTCTTCTTCTACTTCTTTCAATGTGTTTTGTTCTGTAGCTTGACATCATGTTCCTGGATGGATTTTTTTTTGGTTGAATCCTGGATGGATTTTTTGTAGCCCTTTTCGGAAATTTTGTTGATTGCTTTCATGTTTCTTCTCAGCATTCAATCAGATTCTCCCGTTGTTTATGTATGTCTGCTAATTAGCTCTTTCTCTACAAACAATACGTATAAGGTTGTATCCTGGTTTGTGTCTTCAGTATTGAGAGGAACTAATTGCTTTGGATAATTGCAGACGGAACTAACTGTGGCGATCAAGAAGATAAGGCTCGGTAAACAAAAAGAAGGTGTGAACTTTACGGCTCTTCGAGAGATCAAATTGCTGAAAGAACTTAAGCATCCAAATATTGTCGAGCTGATAGATGCATTCCCCCACAAGGAGAACTTGCATCTTGTATTTGAGTTCATGGAGACTGATCTTGAAGCAGTCATTCGCGATTCAAACTTATTCCTCTCACCCGCCGACATTAAATCCTACTTCCAAATGACATTAAAAGGCCTTGCTCATTGCCACAAGAAATGGGTTTTGCATAGGTAAAATTTTTCTCTTTATAGAGCTTTCTTTCTCTTGGTCTTGATGATTTACTCTGAATTTGACACACTTGTTGTGTTCAGGGATATGAAGCCGAATAACTTGTTGATAGGATCTAATGGCCAATTGAAGCTTGCAGATTTTGGGTTAGCACGCATATATGGCAGCCCAAATCCTAGATTTACCCACCAGGTATGCGGTTCATGTACTCATATTTATTCTATGCTTTCAGTATTACCAAATTGATTAGGTGCCCGTAGGATTGAGAGATCTTGTATGAGCTTGCATCCTTCCTGCTGGTCCTTTATGCCTGTAATTGTCAATTCTTCATTTTTGAGGATCTTTTGATATGGATCATATTTTATGTTCTCTGCTTGTATATTCGTTTCAACAATGTGATAGAACCCAAATGGACTCTATCAAGATTATGCCACTATTTTGGGGAGACCGACATAACTCTTTGACGTTGTTTTGAGAGAACTTCGATCTCCTTAAGTGATCAAAACCTTCGATGCTTTATAACGTATAACAAACTTCCCTTTAATAGGGTACAAAGACCATGCTGAATCTACATTTCCTTTTTTTACTTGTTTTCTGTATTTGATGCATCAACCATGTGCCATGCATATATAACATTGGAAACGCAATTTGCGTGATATATCAGTTCTGTTGTCATCTTCACGCTACTATGACTGCCATTAGTTTGGATCGGTGGGCTATCTCTGGATAACGATGTAGAATTCTCGAGGGAATTTTTACGGTCCGATAACATTAGCGCCATTATTTCTAAGCTTACTCCAGTTTCTTGATATATCCAATAATTCATAGGTCTTCGCTAGATGGTATAGAGCACCAGAACTGTTGTTTGGTGCAAAACAATATGGTCCTGCAGTTGATGTCTGGGCTGCTGGATGCATATTCGTTGAACTTCTTCTGCGTAGGCCATTTCTTCAGGTAAGTTTACAGTTCTGCTCGTAATGAATTCATCGACAATATGACCCTAAATTCTATACCCAATCTTCATATCCTCGAGTTGTATAATCTCTGATTATCTTATTTTGTTTTCTTTCTTTGACAGGGAAACAGTGATATTGATCAATTAAGCAAAATCTTTGCGGCCTTTGGAACGCCGAAAGTAGATCAGTGGCCGGATATGAAATACCTTCCCGATTACGTTGAATATCAATATGTCCCTGCTCCGTCTTTACGTTCCTTGTTCCCGATGATTAGTGACGATGCTTTAGATCTGTTATCCAAGATGTTCACCTACGACCCAAAGGCTCGGATTTCTGTTCAGCAGGCTTTAGAGCACAGGTAACTCAAGCTTTTTCTTACGGAGAATGCATCATATCGGTGCTTATTGACTCGTCGACTAAACTATCCTATAAATACATATAATTGCAAGAGGTTGTCGTATCAATTTTCATCTGGCTGGAGTTTGGATTTCCAGTTTTTCCGAGCTCTCTGATTGGGAAAATTAGTATTTGTTTCAGTTTGTAACCCTGTTCCGTAGGCTGCAAATAAAAGTTCAGAGTCAAACTCTAAGTACCTCAATCTGCAGTGCTATTATACCGGTTTTTCTACTAGTATTGCTGAATCCGACATCTCTTTACAGTTTACAGTCGTTGGAGATTCTCGCTTTGGATGTAACATGATAACATCAGTTCAATTATAGATTTTCAGTTATAAATTCTCGTTTTCCCGTATAGGTACTTCACATCTGCACCTGCTCCTACTGATCCAGCTAAGCTCCCGAGGCCAGTCAGAAAGCAGGAATCGTCGAAGGTCTCAGACCAAAAACACGAAGTCATTACAGTGTTATCTCCTCCAAGGAAGCTGAGAAGAGTAATGCCTGACCGTGCTAAGTCTCAAGCTGATAAAACGGATCAGCATCTTGACAGCTTGAAACAAGCTTGCCACGATGAACAGGCGCCCATGTCGTTAGATTTCTCGATCCTCGCTGAACGACCTCCTAATCGCCCAACCATTACCAGGTAAAAATCACATCACATGGCATTCAAACCATTAAAATTTTTTTTCGTAGGTTAAATCTCTAAACCAAACCTTAACATCCCAAATCACAGAAAGGCCTAAAAAGCTCAAACTTCTCTTCCATTCTTGACATTTACTATGGAAATTAGGTTCAAGTTCTTCCACCATTCTCTTTCAGAAGGGCCCCTCGACATTTTAATGCTGAATTTACCCGTTACATTACTAGATTAGGCCGTGTTTTATTATATATTGTTCAAAGTTTGTTCCTTTGGTAAGTTGAAACGTATGATTTTTGCAAGTTTTGAATTTGATACCCAAGATTGGGTGGCTCGACTGGTAAAAAATGGAGCAAAGCTCTTTTCCAACCCATGTTCGAGTCTCCACTTGGGGAGGAGTATTCACATGGATTTTTCTGGTTTTCTAGTAGATGTTGTTGGGTCAAAGGTCGGTGAACTTTCGGATTATTAAAAAAAAAAGTTTTGAATTTGATTGCTAGCTGTTGTTGTTGTTATTTTTGCAGCGCCGACAGATCCCATCTGAAGAGAAAACTCGACCTCGAGTTCCAGTAGCAACATTTATCTGCTGTTTGTTATAAGAGACCTCATCATGACATGTAATTGCTTGGTCGCTTTCAGTATCTGCTTTTATGTTCGGAAATTCCTCAAAGTTGATAAGAAGATGTATTGTTATGTGTTTGTTGTTTTTCACTAAAGATTGTATCAAAATTTAAATTACATATTCCATTTATATTATATATTTGGGAGGAAGAATGAAATTTCTGAAAATCTTTTGTTAGAGTCCAGTTGGTTCGCCGACCTCCAAATCTTCTGTATTTGTACGTCCAACTCTGTTTGCAGCATTTTTGGCCTAACAAAATAAATATAATATCGATAGACTCAGCATGAAAATGAAAAGAGGAAAATATCTAAAAATTCTTTAATTTTTCAAAAAACTCCAATTAAAATCTCGATTATTTACAAATTTAAATAAAATTTTGTTTTTAAAAAAAAATCCCAACAATCTATAACAATAATTTTTAAACTGAAATTAAGTTGAAAAAAATAATAAATGTAATAGCTTTATAATGTGTTTATATATATATATATTTTTTTTTGAGACTCTTAAAATTAATGTTTTATGGAAAGTGAGAATATTTTTTTACCTCTTCATCCCAATCTGTACGGATGGTGATGAAAGAGAGACCCAAGACTTGAACAATGAGAGAACATATAATTCCAAGCCAAAGACCCTAAATATAAACAACAATGTTCATGTCCAAATGGAATAATAATAACAACATCATATATTAAAAGAAGATGGGACCTAAAAAAAATATTATTACTGGGGGCATTACTAAATAAAATATAAAAAAAATCGTAAATTATATTTTGAAATTTATCCATAATTAATATATTAAAAGTTTGAATTACCCGTCCATGGAAATGCAACAAGAATCCGAAGAACAATGCCGAAGGAACTCCGACAAGATAATAAGATCCGAGATTGACGAAAGCTCCAACCTTCTGCCATCCACATCCTCTAGCAATCCCTAACCCAAAAAAAAACCCTAATTCAGTTGGATTACTTTACTTGCAAGACAAGTTAAGTTTCTTACCAGAGAGTACGGATTGGAGGCTGTCGAGGAAATTCGATAAGGCGAGGATCGGCATCATTCTCGCTATGTATCTGATCGTTTCCGCTTCGTTACTGTACGCTTCTCCCCATACGTTTCTTATCAGTAACAACACTGATCCGACCATAATACCCTCCACGATCGCCATGGATATGACCACTCGAGCTGCCAGCTTCGCCGCCTCGGGTTTCCCCGCTCCTAACTCGTTCGAAACCCTCGTGCTGTGGATCCCGAAACGATGAAAAACGGACGAAATGGTACTGAATTTAGTGATCTGCTGATTGTTGGGGTAAAAGGAAGAAAAGGAATGAAGAAGTAGCTTGGATTGCAAGTAACTATGAGGAATTCGTGTTAAATGATCGACAACCGCATCAAGATAAGATTGCCAGTCTCATCATAGTTACTTGCAATCCAAGCTATTCTTCTGAAGCCTTATCCGCCGAGTCTTGTTGCTTGTGTTCCAAGTCTTCATTCGTTTTCTTCCTTTTTTTTATCTCAACGCTGATTTGGTGATATATTGTCGAATATGAGAAAAACATCTGTGGTTATTGGTGATGAAACTGACCTTGCAGCGCCGCTTAGTGCAAATGAGATCATCCAGATTGCAGCTGCAGTGTTTAGACTGGAAAGTTTCGGAAAACGGGTGAGAAGAATCCATGAGAATTCTATCGAAAATTAGGGTTAAAAAGAGACGATAAAACTGCTCTTACCAGATCGAAAGGACCGAGGTTTCTAAGACAGGGTTAGGGAGAAGACCTGATAAGAGAACAAGAAGCTCAAACGACCACATCTCCAAGCTGTCCAAACAACAACAACGTCTCACATATCTTAGAAGAAGATAACAAACAACAATAAGAAGAATCCCAGGTTCTGATTTTACCAAACCATAAGTGCAGAAGGAACAGCGAGCTTTATGAAAGCGAGGACGTTATGTAAAGCCTCCACGGAAAAACCTGTCCAAGTTTCCGAGCAAGAAGACGAGAACTTGACGTAACACGACAGGAGAATGACGTTCAACCAGTAGGAAACCGAGTTGGCGAGAGCAGCTCCCTTGTGTCCTAAACCAGATTTAAACACCAAGGCCCAACAAATAACAAAGTGCTGAAGAGCAGTAATTCCTGAACACAACACCAGGGGGAAGACATTGTTCTGAGACTGTAAGAATCTGTTGAGGCACTGAAGGAGCGAGTAGGCGAATAGGCTCGGGATCATGAACAAGGAATAAGAACCCGCGGATTTGGCGATGGATTTGTCTTGATGCAAGAACAGGAGGAAGTGTTCTGTGTTAGCCCAGATGATGGAAAGGGGACAACATAGTATGAGAAGAACAACCATTGCTCTCTGCATATGTATGCCTAGCATATTGTACACTTTGGCTCCATAAGATTGGCCACATAACGTATCCAACGCACTCGCTGTTCCCATCTGGTTGAATATACAGAGAAAACATGAAAAAAGGAAAGAGAGACAACATATGTATGAGTTCATGCACGAACCCTAATTGTACATATAGATACACACATACACATATATGAAACAGTACATGCACCCAAAAGGGTATGATTTTTCGTTTATGGGTGTCTTTTTTATGAGAGAAAACTTTCAGAAACTATACTAGCAGATTGCGTACAAGTGTATCCGATTATAACCATTGGTTTATCGATTATAAATGGGTATGTTTCCGATTTTCTTACAATATATTAAAGAAATAAGGAGAGAGAGAGAGAGAGAGACTGACGAGGAGGCTGAAGCCGGTGATGGAGGCGAAGGAAGTGGCGATGGAGGCGGCGGAGAGAGGGAGAGAGCCGAGATGGCCGACGAACATTACAGAGATTAGTTGCAGACAGAACTGAAGTAAACTCACAACTATCAATGGAGCAGACAACCATAGCTGTCTCTTCACTTCTGCTTTCACTCTTCTTAGTTTACCGTCTTCTTCTCTCCCGTCTTCAACCTTTCTCCTTGACTCCTCCTCCTCCTCCTTTGCCTCTTCTTCTTCTTCTGCTCTCTCCATTCTTCTCTCCTATCATCTTGACCATTCTTGTTCGTTCCAATTAAAAAAAAAAAACAAAATCTTTAATCCCCATTGTGTTGTTCTTGCTGTTTTGTCTCTTTGCTCAAACGTGTGGCTCCTAAGACTTTAGAGAGAGAGAGATCATGGTTGGTCTCTGTGTTTTCTTTATCTTTTCTTTCTTCAAAATTCAAATTGCCTTTTATATGATATATATATATATATATATATATATAGCTCATGTACGTCTCCATAAACCAATATATTCGAACATCATGGTGAAGACCCTAGAACTATATATATATTGGTAATGTAATGGACCGGCGACGACCTTGTAACTTGCGAAAACACGTTTATTCTTTTATAATATGTGATATAATTTCACAAGAGTAATCATCCAACCGCATATTTATACGAGTGACGATTTTATTTTCTGATTATTGCGCAATATATGTAAAATCGAGAAACACCGTCGTTTTGTGTGAAATAACCAATGATGATTCTGTTTTTTTTTTTATTTATATATATAATATGGTTTTGGTTTGTCCAAGGAAGTCTTCACGATGCCACAACCATGTCCATAGTCTCCGGCATGATTGATGCATAAACTCTTCCATTAGCTTTATTCACCTACACACCACCACCCATCAGTCATAAGATAGTTTTTTTTTTTTTTTGTTCAAATCTAGGGTTGATTTCGATTTGTATATATAATATTGAATATTAACCAAACCATATTTAAAATCGAATTTGTTCAAAGAGAGATTTAATACGACCAATGTTTTTTCCCCCCCCCCCCTCAAATTATCGTATTCAAAACAAAGTATAAAAAAAATTCAAAACACTGAATAAATATAAAAAAAATCTTTAAAAAATAAAATGCAAGTATTTTTCTTTAGTAAAACCTAGATTTTGGATAGAAAATACGACCAATGTTTTTCCCCCCCCCCTCCTCAAATTATCGTATTCAAAACAAAGTATAAAAAAAATTCAAAACACTGAATAAATATAAAAAAAATCTTTAAAAAATAAAATGCAAGTATTTTTCTTTAGTAAAACCTAGATTTTGGATAGAATACGGCCTCATCCGAAGCCGAATATATACATATATATATGATATATATATCTTATGAAAAATACTTACATTTTATAAATTATTTACTTGATTTATTTTAAATTTTAGTATTAATAAAAATTAAAAATTTAAATTATATATTTTTTTATCTAATCTTAAATAAAATATAAATATAACAATATTCAATAATGACTTAAATATTAAAGAGAACTAAATATTATTTACATACATTACTATTTAATATAATTTATAATTTATAATTTAACTTTAAAATTTTTATCATATAAAATTTAAAATTTAAATAATTTAAATTTTAAATTAAATATGATGTACAAGGCCCCTAAAATCATTGAGACGGCCCTGTATATATATATATATGTATGTATGTATGTATGTATGTATGTATGTATGTATGTATGTATGTATGTATGTGTGTGTGTGTGTGTGATTTCTAACAAGAGAAATAAAGGAAGAAATCAGGCGAATATAACGGTATAGGTACCTCTTCGGACCAGTTGGTACGGATCATGACAAGAGAGATAGCCAACACTTGCGTAAGAGCAGCACATATGATTCCCATCCATAAGCCCTATACGTATATATATTCTACGCATAAATTATAATGATACATATATATATATATATACGGCACCGTATATAAGAATTCACACAAATACAATATATATATATATATACACACACACAACATGTAAAGAGAAACATACCGTTGCTCCCATATGTAACAGGAAGCCGAACAAAATCGCCGACGGGATTCCGACGAGATAATACGATCCGAGGTTCACTAATGCTCCGATTTTTTGCCATCCGGACCCCGACAGTACTCCTGTCCGTACCATATTTCATTATAAAGAGTTTACATCGTACCAAACGGAAAAAACAAATAATAATAACAATAATAGCAAATCTTTCCTAAAACCAAATTATAACTCGATTCAAATCAAATATAAAATCCGAATGGATATAGTTTTCCAAAAACAAAGTATAACCGAAACTCGAAGTATCTAACCCGCAAATGAGATGAAAAAGAAAAAACACCTGAAAGGATGCACTGAAGGCTGTCAAGGAGGTAGGATATGGAGAGGAGAGGCACCATAGAGGCTACTCCTTTCACCACCCCTGCTTCCTCCGAGTACATATATCCCAACGTTTTACGTGCGATTATCAAACCCGATCCTATCAACCCACATGCCGCAATCGTCACACCAAAGCATACGCGAATAGCTCGCAATGCAGCATCCGCATTTCCCGCCCCCAGCTCGTTCGATACCCTCACACTGTATATATACGCATTTGAAAGAGAGAAAAAGACTATGTAATTGAAAGGAGAAGTTACCAAAATCAAGTTGATTTATACCTTATTACGGCCGTTGATGCATAGGGGATCATCCGAGTTATCGTTGCGATTGCTAGACTATAAAGAGATAGATAAAAATCAAGAACGAGAAAGGGATCGAGTTATATTATAAGAGAAAACGTTTCTGAGGAAGAAGTGATTTTACCAAGTGGAGAATACTGAAGTTTCCGAGACGGCGTTCGGAAGTAAGCCCGACAGGAAAACCATCGTCTCGGATGACCATATAGTTAAACTGATTTACCAAAAGGGTAACAATCGAAACCAAACCGATTCATATTGTGATCATAGAATGAACTGTGACATGAACTAATATATATATTGTGTCTAAGATTAGAGATTGAATGGGGCAAGTTCTACTTACCAAAACATGATCACCGACGGAACAGCGAGCTGAAAAAACGCAGAAAAATTCTCGAGAGCCTCTCGTGAGAACCCGTCCCAAGATTTCGAGCAAGAAGAGGAAAACTTGATGTAAAGGCTCAACAAGATGACATTAACCCAATAGGAAACCGAAAGAGCCAACGCAGCTCCTCTTATCCCAAACCCGAACTTGAAAACGAACCCCCAACAGATTGGAATGTGAAGAAGAGTGGCGAAAACCGAGGAGAGCATCAACGGAAAAACCTTGTTTTGAGACGTGAAGAATCGGTTAAAGCACTGAAGAAGGGCGAATCCGAAAAGTCCCGGGATCATGAAAGTGATGTATGAGCCGGAAATCTCCGAGATCGATCGGTTTTGTCCGAGAAACATGAGGATAGATTGTGTTTTTGTCCATAAGAGGGACAAAGGTATGCATAAGGTTACAAGAACAAGCATTGCTCTTTGTGTGTGAACCCCCAACATGCGGTGTAGTTTTGCCCCGTGGGATTGGCCGCATAGTGTGTCCAATGCAGCTGATAACCCCATCTGTTTTCATTTTCATCTTTTGTAAGGAAAAAAAAATTAAAAGAAAATTTTTATTAATTCATTTTTCGTATGTTAATATCTTGATCAAAGTTAGGTTTGGTTTGGTTTGGTTTAATCCGGGGTTTGGTTTGATTTGGATCGACAAAAATCGAAACAATATAAAATGACTAAACCGGGGAGGCTTCCGGTTGGACAACAAATTTCAATAAATTTGTTTTTACTCGGTTTATTTTGATATATTCTAGATTCAATTTAAATCAAATAAAATCGAATAGAACATTTTAGATAACTTATGTGATAAATATATAAATGTAGAAAGCCACATTTACGAATACAAAAAGACGCAGAATAAAAAAAATCTAAATTCTGTACCTTTTTTTAATCTAAATTCTCGAAATTATTTTTATAACTCCCATTTTAATGTTAATTCCAAAAATGATCAAAATGGTATCTGTTTGACATTGTTAATCATTTCACAAATATGGATATTAAAATAAATTTCTAAAATTTAGGTGATAAAATAAGAAAATACGTAAAATTGAGTATTTTTCAAAGGTAAACTAATTTTATATACGGGAAGAGAGAGAGAGAGAGAGAGAGAGAGAGACTGACGAGGAAGCTGAAGCCGGAGATTTGGGCGAAGGAATTGGCGATGGAGACGCCGGAGAGAGCCAACGAGCTCTGATGGCCGACGACGGCGACGGAGATCACCTAAACCGGAATTTGTTTCAATGTCAATTTCAAACCCTGTACACGATTTGATCTAAACCGGTTTAAACCAGGAGAGACCGATACCTGAAGACAGTACTGAAGGGCATTTACGACAACCAATGGCCCTCCCAGCAAAACCTGCTTCTTGACCTCCTCCGCCATCCATCCGCCGCTTCCGCCATATTTTCCGATCAAAGGTATCGCCGGAGATTCCTCTTCTCTTCCCATATTCCTATTTTTGAACGAAAAACATAATGTGGCTTTGGTTGCTTCAGTGATAGTATTGCTTTATTGGGAAAGAACTGAAGAAGTAGTTGGCTGTGTTTTATGATTGATGCAAAGTGGACCATCCCAAAAATTGAATTTTTTTTTCATGATGGTGACAGATTCTACTAAAATCACGTGGGATTATTCCCAAATTGAATATCTGAATAATCTGAGTTTAAATTCGGTTAAAGAGATTACTAATAGTTTATATTCGGATTTAATCCAACATAATTATAAAAATAATATCAAATTAGCTCTAATTATTTCTGTAATATTTATATTACTCTTTACACAATTTTCTCTTAGTCTGTTATCCGATCCATTAAAATATAACCGTTGGAAGTCTGACAATTTGAAAATTACAAATCTCCCCCAAATGTTCTGTATATTCCATTGCGATCCCCAACATATCTGTATATTTCGTTTCAATCCCTAATTTTTATATTTTTTCCAATCTTTCCTCGGACAATTGGTGAAATTCCGATAAATCCCTCGCCAGCAGGCTTCCTCGTGTTCCCGTCTAACCCTTCTGCTCACTCGTTAGCTGCGTATGCCATTCGAGACTCCGGCAAATACCCTCCGCGGACGAGATGACGCTCGAAATCGAAGCCCGAGAGTAAGTTTTCCTCGCTCTTTAACCTTTATTTCAAAATTTTCGCTTCTTCTCGAACAATTTATGCTATAAAGCCTTTGTTTTTTCTGTGCTCACGCGTTGCAAATTCGCGTTACCCAGATTTTGGTTTGGGTGTTTTCGTTTTCTTGAGGTGTAAAGTTGCTGTTTTGAGGAGGTAGCAGTGACAAATTTTCTGATTCTGGAGTACGGTATATACTTGGCGTATCGATGCAAGGGTTTATTTGCCGAAACCCATATAATATGTGTGTTTCGTTGTTATTCAGTTCTCGGTTGGGATTTGGGAAATCAATGTTTGGAGTATATTCTCTCCTTTTCTTTCGTCTATATCCTCAATGCGTTGTCCTATGATTTTGTGAAAGTCTAATTCACTTGTTATGTATCTGATGTATTCACACTGCTAGTTTATTGTCTCGATTTTCTGTGAATTTAAACGATGAACAAGTTTATGATGTTGTGGTGGCCAAAAGATTTAGATAATGGTCCTATTACAAGCTTTGATAGTTCGAATTGGGTGAAAAATGTGGTTTTCCGTTTAGATTTTGATGATTTAGCCTGGGTATATCTTCATCTCTTACAGCATTCTATTGCATTTTATATTTCAGCGTTATAAAGATTGTTCTTCAATTCTGCAAAGAGAACTCGTTGCATCAGACGTTTCAGACACTGCAAAATGAGTGTCAGGTTTCATTAAACACAGTGGACAGCGTTGAGACATTTGTTTCTGACATTCATAGTGGAAGATGGGACTCCATACTGCCTCAAGTTTCACAGCTTAAGCTTCCCAGAAATAAATTAGAAGACCTTTATGAACAGGTATTGCCAGTTTCAATGTTTACAGTTTCATAACTGACCTTCTGCAATCTTTAAGGCTTAGAGCTTTGGTTAATTACTGGTTATTTGACAGCCAAAATTTCATGGAACCATGTTTTTCCTTGGTGGCGAGTTATACAGATTGTCCTCGAAATGATAGAACTTAGAGAGTTGGATACTGCAAGGGCTATTTTGAGGCAAACTCAGGTGATGGGTGTCATGAAGCAGGAGCAACCAGAAAGATATTTGCGGCTAGAGCATCTTCTAGTCAGAAGCTACTTTGATCCACATGAGGTACTGAACCGATCCTTTGTCTATGTCTTCAGTATCATCAATTGTTCACCTCTTTAAACATTGTGGATATGTCTCATAGAAAATCTAAAATCTATTGCTTTTAGTGAGCTGTTTGTTGTTCAGAATGTGTGCATCTTAATATCTTTAGCTAGAACCACCGAGCTTAGTTGATCAGATAAAGTTGTTTCTAAATAAGGGTCACAGGTACAAAGTTAATTTGTTCAATAGTATCTACAGGTTTTAGTCAGCTCATTTCCAGCTTGATGAGTATCTCCATCATGGTGGAGAAAATTGAACCTTATTTAGCCTATTGATGTTAATGTCCTGCTGGTCATTTTATCTTTTTAATGCTGGAAAAGTTATTTTGTTTGATTCACATTTTTTGCTAATCTGCATTTTCTTCCAGGCTTATGGGGAATCAACTAAAGAAAAAAGACGCGCACAGATTGCCCAAGGTTAGCTTTTCTTATTTGTTTTATCACAAAGCATTGTATCTTGGATTTTTTTTCTCAAGTAGGCGAGGGATTAGATCTTATAGGGAACAACCGAACAAGGGATCTTACAAAAATTTTCAACCGTCTTGGATGCTAAGATCGTCTAATTACTTGAAACATATTGAAGTTTATATCTCTGGATAAATTTGTTGTCATGATTTCCCTAATGGATATCCTCCTACTATTTCAGCTCTGGCTGCTGAGGTTACTGTGGTACCACCTTCACGGTTAATGGCTTTGATAGGTCAGGCTTTGAAGTGGCAACAACATCAAGGTCAGAATCTAGAGGACATTTAGAAATTACATTATTGCATGAGATCAAGCTGTTGCCTAGAATCTTGAGTAGATTTTTTCAAGTGCTCATTTTCCCTCACGCCATGCCTCCTTCCTTTTAAATCTTCTTAGTGTCTTTTTACATGTCCTCAATATTTCAGTCCAATGTTCTGCTCATTCTTCATCTTCTTTTGATGCATGTTACCCATTTAACAATGGGATCACAAGTTTATGTGTAGAACTAGATTGATCGGGATATCTGTCTTTACTCATCTCTTGCAACTTTTTTCCGGGTAAACATCTCTTGCAATTTTACATAAGACAATTTTTTTTTTCAGGAATGCTTCCTCCGGGAACACAGTTTGATCTCTTCCGTGGGACAGCTGCTATGAAACAAGATGTAGAAGACACATATCCAACGGCTCTTAATCATACCATAAAGGTTGGTTACTGCACTTTTACTGCTTGTCTAGCTTGAGGGCATTTATCTTTATTGTTTATGCGTTTCAGCTATTTTTATGGCAGTTTTATAATAGTTAATTCTTTTCTAATTTTCCCATCTCGTCTGGTGCCCGGTGCAGTTTGGTACTAAGAGTCATGCAGAATCTGCTCGGTTTTCACCAGATGGGCAGTTTCTTGTTTCTTGTTCTGTGGATGGCTTTATCGAGGTATTATGTTTCTAAAATTTGTTTTTATCTCCAAGGCTAAGTCTATACTGCTTAGGAGTTGAGACAAAAATTATTCGGACATGACAATTGTCACAGGTTTGGGATTACATCAGTGGGAAGCTCAAGAAAGATTTGCAATATCAGGCTGATGTAAGCTAGTTCTTTTACCTTGCTTGACTTTCTTCTATGTCTATACGAGCTTGAATGAGTTGGTAGTAGGATTTGCAATGAAGGCAGAGTATCCATACAGCATTTTAAAATCGAATGCTGTATAATGACTTGAATGAGTTGGTAGTAGGATAAGTCAATGAGAATAATGCGTTGGATTTTTTTGGCATCTAATTGCTAAAAATTGTGGATAATGACTTGTTCACGTACCAAATATCTTGTTCCGAGGCTTGCTTTTGGATAGTGTTTGATCTTGGATTGAGGGTACTTATTCTAGTCATATTGCTAATTACTAATGATAAATTCTTACAGGAAACTTTCATGATGCATGATGATCCTGTCCTTTGTGTTGACTTTAGCAGAGATTCTGAGATGCTAGCATCTGGGTCACAAGATGGAAAGATAAAAGTAAGTTCCAGCTCAAAAAAGCTTATCAAAGTTAGATCTATATGCCCTGAACGATTCCTATCTTTTCTGATTTTGTTGTTTCTCTCTGAATCGAAAATTTTCTTCAACTTGGATGATATTTCTTCTCCTACTCGTTTATCTTATATCGATTCAGATTTATATGATGATGAGGAACTAGACTTGGATGCATGACACTTTTTTTGCAGGTTTGGCGTATAAGGACTGGTCAATGTTTGCGTCGTCTTGAACGTGCGCATTCTCAAGGAGTCACAAGTCTTTCATTCTCTCGCGATGGAAGCCAATTGCTGAGCACCTCCTTTGACAGCACTGCTAGGTTTTGTTCGCTGCTTCATTTTTTTTCCTTGCTATATAAATATCTATTTCATGTAGAAGGATTGATCAGTTGATGATGGGGTTTGGTCAATGTTTGTGTTTTTTTTTTCTTTTTCTTTTTCTAGTTACAACCTTTTATTGCCTTGCTTTCCTAGTGCGGGTTGTTATAGATCATTATCTGGGTCATAGAAATATCAAATTGACATAGTATTTACTTTGTGCAGAATCCATGGTTTGAAATCTGGGAAATTGTTAAAAGAATTCCGTGGTCATTCATCTTATGTAAATGATGCCATCTTTACAAGTGATGGTAGTCGTATCATCACTGCCTCGAGTGATTGCACAGTGAAGGTATGTTATGTCAAATTTATTCTTGGGTTTTAGATGCAAGTGACATTTTATGTTATCTGATTTAACCTCTTACTCTCTCCATGTAATATCAAAATTTATATTCCTTTGTATAGGTCTGGGATGTAAAGACCACGGATTGTCTACAAACATTCAAGCCACCGCCTCCTTTGCGGGTATCCTTTCTCTTCAGATCTTGAATCGTATTTAAATTGTTTCTCATCTTCCGACCCTAACTAAAACCCTTTTTTTTTTGTCTAAATCCGTATTCTGTAACGCAGGGAGGTGATGCTTCTGTCAATTCTGTTCATCTGTTCCCGAAAACCTCGGATCACATTGTTGTGTGTAACAAGACATCATCTGTATACATCATGACACTCCAAGGACAGGTAACATCATATGGTTCTATTTATACTTCACATGCCTTTCTTCCTTGAATCTGTGTCAAGTGTTGAATAGTGCGAGGAATGACTTTATACATGAAAGTACAATTACCCTTGATTTCTTTCTTTTTTATTAAAATCATATTTCTTCTACCTCTTTTGGTGATCAAAAAAGAGGAAGGGTGCAAAATCTTAGAACCTATGATCTCGTTGAGCTTGAGCCATGATCGAACCCTTGCTTACTTCCACAGCAACAACTGCCGATAGCACATGATATCTTTTCTTGTATTCTGTCTCCAGGGAAAGCTGAAATAAGTTTAAGATTTACGGTCTTTTCTTTTGTAGGTTGTGAAGAGTTTCTCGTCGGGTAAGAGGGAAGGAGGAGATTTCGTGGCTGCATCTGTATCTCCTAAGGGTGACTGGATATATTGTGTCGCCGAAGACAGGTTTCGCTATACTCTTCTCTTCGTTACAAAGTTCTCTTTTTTTGTCTTCATCTTCATCTCTTGTTTCAATGCACATAATAATACAACATTTTGAGGGATCAGACTAATGAAGTATGCGAGAATATGCCCATCTGAACTCATTTGCATATTTCCTCGGTTCCACATTCTCGTTTCATTTCTCCTCCCAACACGGAAAAAAAAACCCGTCGATTTCTATAATCACCGGATATCTAATGATACCTTATGTTTGTGGTTCCATTCCATCCACTGGTTTTGATACACTTTTAACACATGTGGCCATGCGTTGCGTTTTCAGGAAACTGTACTGCTTCAGCTATCAAACCGGTAAACTAGAGCATCTCATGACGGTAAGTATATATATATATATATGTGGTAAAACTTGGATTCTGGGCAAATGGGTTTCCTGGGAAACGTATATACGTGAGGCTGATACGGTGTATATTTGCAAATTTATACGTTGGGGATGGACAGGTACATGAGAAGGACGTGATCGGAGTAACGCATCATCCCCACCGGAATCTCCTCGCAACATACAGTGAAGATTGCACCTTGAAGCTATGGAAGCCCTGATTCCTTCCTTCCTTTTTCCCCAAATGTTTCTCGGGATTTTCAGTACGAGGAAAGTGTAGGAACATGGAAAATGCATTAACTTTGAATGCCCTCTTGTTATACATTCTGCTACTTGAGAAAAAACCAGGTTTCTCAAGAGGTTAGGAAATGCAACTTCTCTGAATTTCCATCATTATGAATGTGAAAATCTAACGTTTAATTAAGCTAATATGAAAACTCCGTAGACATAATTTTTTAAAAACTGAAAAATTAAATAAAAAATCCAAATGGAATATGAAAATAGTTAAAAAGAACAAAATTGAAGGTTTTGTTGAAAAGGTAAAATTTTTATTGATAAGAACTAAAGTAAGTCGAATTGAATTTAAATATAAAAAATAAATATAATTTAAGCGGAAAATGGTTTCTGTACTTCCAAAAAAAAAAATAAACATACATTTGGAATTTATATCGTATTATTATTACACATATGTTACCGGATCCGGACCTACATGGCTACATTTGTCTTGACGTGCCAACGATTAAGAAGAAAATATTTGTTTTAGATTTTAAATTAACACATGTTTTGTTACATTTTCAATTAAATCAAATTCACAAGTACAACTGCGTTGACTTTTGTGGCGAAGCAACTTTGACTGTCCTAAATCTTACAGATCCACTTATATGTTTATCAGTGTTCATTTTCACGTGTACAGTACGTACAGCTACAAGAACGGGGAATATTACTCAAATAACCCACTTGGGTCGCAGCAATTTCAGTGTACACCACCGAAAAAAAAAAAAAATTTTGCGACCTTATTACGACTAATATATAACTAATATACAACCTATTACGACTAACAAACTACTCTTATTTTAGTTGTATATTAGTTATATATTAGTCGTAATAAGGTCGCAAAATTTTTTTTTTTTTTCGGTGGTGTACACTGAAATTGCTGCGACCCAAGTGCTGCGACTTGGGTTATTTGAGTAATATTCCCCTTCTATGATGCAGAAGAATCTTGCATCTGATTTCGATTCCTTCGTTTTCGTTCCTCCACAGATTTTCAAATTCCTTAGAAATTCATCAATGGCGCTTTCATAGTTCGAATCCGTAAACGTGTTCTTCTTCACTTCCAACTCTCCTTGAACATGCTCTTAAACCCTTTCGTCTCTTCCACCTTCCGCATCTCCCATGGCGATCGCCGTATCTCTCTCCCTTTCCTCTCTCCGACCAGCCAGAGGGAATTACCGTTTTACCCTTCAAGGAAACCAAGCCCAGCTTGCTGTCTCTCCGTCGAACGCCCAAATGACCAGTCCCCCGCCGCCGCGGCAAACGGCGGCAATTTGGGTCTCAGGGTCGTGGTCGCGGCAGGAGGAACCGCCGGACACATTTCTCCGGCGATGGCGATCGGAGACGAGCTGAAATCAGCCGATCCACCTACTCGGATCCTCTTCGTCGGTTGCCCCAACAGCATGGAGAGCACGACGGTTCCCGCCGCCGGATTCGACTTCGCCGCCATATCCGCCGGGAAATTATCCCGACCCTTTCTCTACCTAACCAACCTCTTCGGCCTCCCTCTCAATCTGCTCCGATCGGCGCGTGAATCGTACGCGATCCTCCGCGATTTCGAGCCCCAGATCGTTGTCGGAACCGGAGGGCACGTCTCGTTCCCGACATGTTTAGCCGCCGTGGTTCTGGGGATCAAGCTCGTGATCCAGGAACAGAACTCAGTGCCCGGAATCGCCAACTGGGTACTTTCGTTCTTCGCCGACAAGATCTTCACGGCCTTCAACAGTGCCGTCAACAGCTTCCCGAAGAGATCGGCGGCGAAGTGCGTCGTCTGCGGAAATCCGATACGGCAGGCTCTTCGGCGTTACATCTCGAAAGCGGCGGCGCGCGTAAATTACTTCGGACAGTGGGCCGGAGCTATGGCGGAGGCTAAGGTCGTGCTCGTGCTCAGTGGCTCGTTAGGGGCTAATTCCGTCAACATTGCTCTGTTGAATTGTTACTCGCAGGTGTTGTCGGAGCATGAGAACTGGTTCTTCATCTGGCAAACAGGGGTTGAAGCTTTTGACGAAATGGATAGCCTTGTCAGAAGCCATCCCCGCCTGTTTCTTGCCCCGTAAGTTTCGAATCTTTTTAAGCTGTTCTTGTCTGAAAAGTGAAGGCTCTGAGATGAATCCTATGAACTGCAATAGGTTTTTGAAATCTATCGACATGGCGTATGCTGCTTCAGATCTGGTTGTGTCGAGGGCTGGTGCCATGACATGCTCTGAGATCTTGGCTTTAGGCAAACCTTCTATTCTGGTATATACTATGCCCGATATTCTCGATTTTCCAACTTTCTGAATTTATCGGATTTCTAGCCTGGATTAGCTTTTCGCCCGGGTTTTTCTGTAGATACCGTCACCAAAAAACGAAGAAGGGCACCAGCTGAGAAATGCCTCGTTAATGGCGGATATAGTAGGGGCAAAGGTAATATCAGAGGAGGAGCTAGATTCAATCGCCCTTCGAACTGCCATGGAAGAGGTTCTAGGTACTTCCAAATCTCGTCTTCCTCTCTCTAAGTAGAAAGTCTGCAACTTCATGGATTTGGAAAGCCTTACAGATGAAAATTCTTATCAACATTATACAATGAATCGGTAGGACTAAGAAGATGTCATCAGAACTCAAGAACTGAAACCGAAACTGAAACCTTATAGAAGCATATCTTCGTGTAATGACAGGGGACGAGGAACGGATGGCGGAAATGAGCGAGAGAGCGCTCAAAGCTGCGAAACCCGACGCTGCTTCAGTTATCGCTCAACACATACTATCTCTGGTGAAATCTTGAAAGATAAGCAGTAATGTTCGACATTACTAGTACTTACTTCCCACAAAATTTTGATGGTCTGTTTTTTTATTCATTTTCCAACAGACTAATCATTTGATGATATCAGCATCAACATCGCCTTAATCCCAAGTTAATCAATTGATCGCATACTTTAGAAAAACAAATGATTATCATCGCATAATAATTCGAGAAACAATGGATAAAAAGGAGAACCTTGAATCAATCTTTGCTTTATAATCTGACCTGTCTGTTATAACACAATATTTTTATAAATGATAGATCAAATTGGTACATGTAGTAGCACCAAACACGACAATCAAGATTGAATCTGGGCAATTGATCCTTTTCCATGCTCCATGCTCTTATGTGAACAAAAGAGTTAAAGAACATATTAAAATGAATGTACTTACACAAATGAAGAAACGGCATTTTCTCACAGATGAAGAAGGTTGGAGATGTTGTCCCAACCGATGTTCCATTGTCTCTTGTCAGAAGGAACTGCAAAATTGAGCTCAAACATCTCCTTTGAGATGTTGTTCCCTCCTTCACAGAACCCGACAAGCTTCGCAACTATGGCTGCACTCTCTTCTACGTGTCTCGTGTCATAAGGGTCTGTCCATAGCTTGTTCACAAACTGAAGTTTCCTCTGTTTTCCCTCTAACGGCACGTCCCATTTCATGTACAACGAATCTCGCTCCTCTGGCGTTAGACGAGAGTTCACCCTCCTTGCAAGGAACTCTCTTTCTCTTCTCAATGCCCGAATGCTGAACAAATCAACATCAGCATGCAATTTCATCCACATTGAATACGAGTCATAAAGGGATCTACACTATATGTGCCTATACTGCCAGAGTGTTTGCTCGAAATGTTCAAGCATAGGACTACTATACTTCCCCTCAAACAAGCAAATCAACTCGTGTGTTTTCAAGAGTTTTATGTAATGGTCATGTTTATCTATTCCGAAAATAGACGAGTGAGGTGAATGAATAAACACATACCTTGATGATATAGATATTGCGGGTTCATCGCCATTTCGTGCAGGTGTTGCATTACCGACTTCTGCGAGATGGTGTTCCAACCAAGTTAACCGCCTTAGCTCGACTTCCATGTATATTTGGTCAGCTTGATCACCCTTGAACAACAAATAGAATTGCGTCCTGTGGATGATGGACACGTGGCAGACATGCCACAGCTCTACAATCTGCTGTCTTTGCTGCTTAAACATTATGTGCCATGCGACTTGCTGTGTCTCCTCTTCCTCTATCTCGTTCTCGTGGTCCTCTATGTTGTGCCCAGCTGCTTCATTTGCTTCCAATTCAAGCACCTACAGAAATACAGTGAATATGTGATATGTGATGAGAGTGGAAATGACAGAAAGTATTCCGGTTTAGCCTGGAACAATTCGGTATGACTTGGTTTAGCATTTGGAAGTTGTATAAATACCCTGTATTACATTAGAATTTTGAATCAATACAACACAGTAAATTTCAGCTTTCCATTTGCAAATTCTTTCTGAAATGGAAACTGACATTTTATGTGTTGTTTAGGAGAGGAGTTTTGTTTCTTTTGCGTACCTGACAAACGAGAAGTTGCTTCTGATACTGTAATTTGGCGACACGTTCTTTGAGTTCTGTAACATATGTTCTTATGCTTCTCACGTTCTCCTCTGCTGCGTTCTGGAACATCTGCTGCATTTTCTTCATGTTCACTGAACTTGAACGCCTGTAGCCTGGAGTGCTTTCCCTCGATGAGACATCTCCACTTTCTTCCCCTTTCTTTGGAGTCTCTTTCTCAAAACCGTGAGCATTTTCTCTAGATTCAGAGTTGTTATTCTCGAGAGGCGCTCTGTTCTCAGTGTCGGTATCCAAGACTTGCCTTGAGGCTGACAACGGAGAGCATGGAGATTTCAAGAAATTCTGGCTGCTAGGTGTCAGGGGAAGCAGCTTCTTCTTCTTTGATTGATGATGGTTCTTCGTCTTAGGGGTTCCATCTTCTACCATGGCTTGGACAATGTTGTTATTGCCCGGAAGAGACATCACCAACTTGTCTATAGATCTCTGAACATTCTCAAGTTGTTCCTCGAGGTTGGCTATGGTGGAGCCTTGTGAGTGGAGCCTTGTTATCTCGTCCTTCAGATTGGCACTTACACTCTTGTTAGGAGCTATGACATTTCCTATTTCCACTTCTTTAGGCATCAATGATTTTATGCTGCGCATTTCCCTTATCTCTGCTTGAAGCTTAGCGATTGTCTGAGCTGCATCTTGGTTGCCCAGTCTATGGCAGGCAACTTCCTTCTGTAGCACTTCAAGGGCTTTATTCGCTTCCTCTCCAAGCTGTTCTTGAAGGTGTTCGAGTTTTCGGATCTCATGCATCAACGTGAAAGGAGCTGTCGAGGATTGCCTCATAGATTGACGTATCATGGTTTTCCTTGCTTTCTCATTCCTTTATAGAAGCATATCTTCGTGTAATGACAGGGGACGAGGAACGGATGGCGGAAATGAGCGAGAGAGCGCTCAAAGCTGCGAAACCCGACGCTGCTTCAGTTATCGCTCAACACATACTATCTCTGGTGAAATCTTGAAAGATAAGCAGTAATGTTCGACATTACTAGTAATTCCTGCTTACCACTTTGTTTTCTGTGTTTGGTGTCAATGCCACAGAATAAGATAGACACTTCTTTATTGATGGGCCTGGAGATTCAAAGGCATTTGAGCCCTGAGACAAGAAAAGATGTCAAGTTTCAGAACAAGAATAGGATAGGAGAAAGAGATAGAGAGAGAGAGAGAAGGTGATGAAACCTTCTGTTGTTGGTCTTCTTGAAGCTTTTTACGCAACTCCTCTACTTGGGTCTGTGCATTATCTCTCTGTCTCCTAAGTTCTTCAATTTCCATTTCCATCTGTGAAGACATGAAACACAGATAATGTAAGTACCAGATTTGGCTCAATGCTGAAGTTTTGTTGTTTGGAAAAAAGTTAAGTGGAAAGAAACCTGCTGGATCTTCAAATCTTTTTCTCTAGATGGATCGGGGGTGCGAAGCTCTGCCTCTAATCTCGCCACTTCCTTCTGAAGATGTTTCACCAATTGCTTATCAGAAACAACCTGGATTTTCACCAGAAGTAGCAGATAAGTTTTATGTTGTTCCATCCCGAGGGTCGTTGATGGTACAGATAAGAATGGAATAAATGATCATTACCATGTTCACTTGGGCGTTGTTCGTTACTTCCTTGGCTCGGGTAGCAAAGAAGAGAGTATTTCTTGATTGTTCAACATGAGTCAGAGCTGGACTCAATGTACAGATAATTGCTGTTCGGGCGTTTCCTCCCAGTGAGTGCTGTAATATCCGGGTAAGCTTCGAGTCTCGGTAAGGTATGTGACCGCTTCTTTTCCCCACACTTTGCAAGTTTCACGAAGCAGATAAATTGGTTACTTGGATAATTTATAAATCATGATATTACTGTTAGCATATGGTTCAGCTTTCCCAAAACACAACACATGAAAACAAGATTCTTACCTTAGTTTCCGGATGACAGTTGTAAGAGTCATCAAACTTAAATTGATATGGCACCCTTCCCTGAGTCTAGTTCCATCTGCCTGTGTCTGTGAAGCTCTCTCACTTCCTGCTAAGTCTACGAAATTCTGCAAATTCATTTTTATAACCCAAAAATTAAAAATAGTATGCAAAAGAAGTGATTCTCACAACAGAGCAAACATAACAAGAGATGTTTTTACCAGACTAGCGACATAAGACCTCACGCAATCCGAGTTTTCACGAAGAGTACTTTGTATTGTCTGCTTTGCCATTAAGAATCTCTCATTAGTGTCTAGCAGGAAACATGCTGTTTTGTACAGTGTAAACAGTGAACTAAAAACATTACCAGTCTGATTATTTGGTGTGACCGTGAGCTTGTATCGTTCAAAGCGGTTTCTCCAACTTGCCTTTGAGCTATCACAGCGGTGGCATTGAAAGAGAAAAGAAAGTCCAGCAAGTCAGACAATCTTGGATTTGAATAAGCTATGAATGATACTAAAAGGAACACAGAGGACGCAACAGCTTACCTTCACAGATGCTAATCAGATGCCTCAAGTGTTGATTGTTATTTGCTGTTTCTTCTACCAGTTTCTCAACCACTGTACCTTTCTGCAAGAGCAAATTACAAGAAATGAAGTCAGTGGAAGTCCAACAGATGCCGTGATATCTGAAACGTGACCTCAAAGTAAAGAAGCATTACATCTGGGTCGTCCAGGAGCTTAAGGTTGCGCCCGGATTCTGAATTTAGCAGATCCCTTACATTTTCATTATATATTTCCAGACCAGAAATCTTTATTGTAAAATCTCGTTCAGGGGTCTGGAAAATCAAAGTTTAACAAAAGAAAAATGGTCAGCAAAATCATATTTTCTTGTAACCATACATTTTCATCTGACAGAGATACCTAAAAAATGAGGATTAGAGGAATGTACAATCTGATAATAGCAATGCTTACATTAATGATGTGATTGTAAATATCATTGACGGCTTTCTCCGTTATTCCTCTCATAGTGTATGTCTTTCCACTGCTCGTTTGCCCATAAGCGAATATCGTTGCTGAAACAAGGAGAGTGAACTAATTTAGAACAGGTACATCACTGTAATAAACCCACATACGGAGCTTGTCACAGTGTTCTCACCGTTGATGCCCATCAAAGCAGACAACGCAACATTCTTGACGCCTTCTTCGTACACATTTTCCGTTAAACTGTCTGGACCAAACACTTTATCTGGAAACCGAAAAAAAAACAGGTGTTTAACTTTGACCCGCAAGAAAATCAAGAAACTAAAAAGAAGGGCTGAAAGAAACAATGGCAGGCTCAGGTTACCAAACGTGAATGAAGAGGACTGAGGTGACCGTTCTTGAGAAGGCGATTTGTACACGACAGTGTGATCATCGACGCATTCCCATGCCACTTGGTCTTTAGCCGAAAGCTCCTTCTTGTTCAGAGGCCTTAACCTTACAGTAACTACGATCTTCTCCTCCCTCGATCTTGGTCCACCTCCCGGTGTCACAGCGGTTGCCGTTCGCTCCATCTTAGATGTCGGAGTTCCAGGAATCCTCATCGTCATTCTCCTGAAAAAAAAGTTTTCAAAGACTTCTAAATGAATCTCATTCCATTCATCAATAGGTTCCTGATTTCATGGGTTATACTCGGATCTAGAGTTCACTGAGACATCAACACTGTAAATATTTGCCAACATTTAACAGGATTCTCATTTTCGGCAGAAATTGAATGTACAATCCAAGCAAAACCCGTATAAGGAAACTTCATCACATTTCCATTTTATCCATCAGATGAAGTCAAAGCATCTGAATTCCAGGTTGAACTCTGTAGAAATTTCCGAAATTCAAGGGATGTTCCCATTCGATCTAAACAAAAACTCGTATAAGGAAACCTCTTATCATGCTTTCCTACCAACCAATCTGCCACTATATCAGGTTTAAATTGGGAAACCTTTTTCATCAAAATCAAACCCAATCGATTTTATTCTATTTCCGACCATCAAACTTCCAAAAAATTTTAATCCGAAACTGAACTTCACTTAATTAAACTTAACCTAGAAGAGAAGTACACCAGAAATCAAGGAAATAAGGAAGAAATCGCATACTTACAGAGAAATCGGACTGTAGAATCAAATTTCTCTCTGATCAGAGAGAGAATAAGAGAGATCTCTGAACTCTTAGCTTAAAGAAAAAGAAGATGACGATGAAGAAGAAGAAAAAGGAAGAGGAGAGGAAGAGCAACGGATTTTGGGGCTTTTTTTGTCTTTATGGAGGTGCGTGCAGAGAGAGAATTTGAATCTGAGGAATCCAACGGCTAGTCCGATGGACAATTTCTTAAATTGCTTAATAAGGGTCTTCCTTTCTTATCAAATCTCACATCTGCCCCTAATGTCTCAATTTCATTAATAAATCGCCCTGTACTTTATTTCTTATAGGCAATAACTTTTCTATTTCCGTGAACGGATTAATACCAAAGAAGCTGACAAAACGGACCAAAAAAATCGTAAAACAAAGTTTTCCAAAAAATTCTCGAAACTAAAGATAAAAAAAATGATAAACCAAACCTAAATACTGTAAGAAAAAGGGATATATATATATATATATATAATTTTTAAAGAAAATTTTGAATTCAACAACAAATTAAAACCCATAGGAAAAATCAATAAAACAAATACATATGATGGAAATTTATCAATATAAATTATTAATTGATATATATACATAGAATTTAAAGAATATTATTAAAAGTAACTATTATTATATTAATCTGAGGAATTTACATATCCCATATTGTTTTTAATAGAAGTCCTAATAACAAAGAAATATAAACCAAATTATAAATGTAATAATACATACATACATACATACATACATACATACATACATACATACAAACAATTTTTTTTATAGTTTCTTGTTTTGATTACATTAGTTTAACTTACTTAATTCCCTTTCTATTAAAAAAAAAGGAAAGGAAATACCTTTGTTTAACGCTTTTTTTTTTAATCTTAACGGACTAAAAATTGTCACATTTGACTTACTATATGAACATTACCAAAATGAAATTAATCATATGGTTGCTATTTCTGTATATATATATATAATATATATTTAAAATGTTAGTCCCTCTAATAAGCGTTATTATGAATCATCCATCGAAATTTCTTCCGTAGTCAAAACAGAAAGTTGACTGTCCGATATTTTAAGTCATGACGATGTTTTAGCCCGATTTCATTAAATGGGTTAAATTATAATCTTTTGTTTTCAAATATAAGTATTTGATATGACTCAATTTGTAGACTATAATCATTTGTATATTCTTTTTCATAAATTAAGTAAATAATAATTTATTTCTCGAGATCGAAAACACATTTTATAGGGTCGGTCCATTTTGCAATTCGAGAATGGGAATTGTTAGAAATTGAAGTAAAATCTCAGGGGACATCAATCAGCGTATTTTATTTGCAAGTGTGGAACACGAAGTTTGAAGTCAACATCATGAAAACAGCCTTGCAAATATAAGAAAATCAAAATGGAAAATTATTAAAAGCAAAAAATTTTAAAAACAAAAACAAAATAATTGTAAGATACACATAGATAGACGTAGAGTAGGATTTAAGATTTTCAATTTATTGATATATTTATCAGAATTTCTAAAATTTTGAAAAATATCTAATTTAGTTATGGTGCATTTTCATTTTTTAAATCCAACTTCTATTCGAATTTAATTATATTAAAATCTTTGAACAAAAATATTAAAAATAAATAATAATAAAAAAACTACCGAGGGTGGACCCTTCTATGCTTCCTTGGTCAAAACTCAAGCTTGGAACAATAATTTCAATAATGCTACCTGTACGCAAATAATTATCAAATAGAGTAACTATAAATTTATAAACCCCATAAAATAAAAAGAAAATTCAAAATATCCTATAAAACAAAACGAATAATAACCTGAAAGGAATCTCTGACCATATCTTTTATTTATCACCCAAACTCTGTAATCATCAATTAAAATACTAAATAACAAAATAATATATATATATATATATATATATAGTTTCTCCAAATTACATACATCATTTGACCAAACCATCGCTCATTTACATAACCCAAACGCCACCCACCCAAAAAAAAAAAATTCCCAAGTCATGGTCAGCAACCTCATGAAACACCATCTTCTCTTCATCTTCACCTTCACCATCATACCATCTTCCCTCGCCGCCGACCGATACTACGAGAACTGCCGTGAAACTTTCCGATGTGGGCCGCCGCCGTCTCAGATGTTCGAAAACGGTACTACTTACCCGTTTTGGGGAATCAACAAATCCGGCTACTGTGGCCGACCAGGGTTCGAACTCTCTTGCAATAACCAAAATAACCTAACCCTAAATCTCGGGAATCGTACTCTACGAGTCTTGTCCGCCAACCTGACCGGTCAGACCATCACCGTTGCAGATGATAGCTTGTTCCAAGGACGCTGCCCAGAGACTTTGGACTTGTCGGGAATCAAACAGTTCGAGTTAGCAGCTTCCACGACCGAGAAGATCGACTTGTTCACTTGCCCGGATTCTCCCTCGCCGCCGTCGTTTCCGGTTCCTTGCACTACACGTCGCGGTGAAAAATCGACGTATTACGCGTTCCGGACGAGAGATAATAACAAAAGCGAGGGCTGTACGAGAGTAGGCGAAATCGCGTTGAAAAGATCGGTTCTCGAGTCAAACTTAACGTCATCTTTGAAGGAGGCGTTGGAATTAGGGTTTGATTTGAGGTACATCATGGAAGATGATTCTTGCCGGCGGTGTACGGACTCCAGTGGGGTTTGCGGGTCGGAGTTGGATTCAGGGCGTTTCCAGTGTTTATGCGCAGACAAACCTCACAAGTCTTCGTGCCATGACGGAGGAGGTATGCCTAAACCATTGAATGGATTCAAATTTTAAAACATTAGAAAATAAAAATGGTGGAGTTTATTAGAGATATATATTAGTTTCTAGATTTTATATTTCCCAATTGAGTTCTAGTGGAAGTTATCATTGATCATGATTAGAATTATGAGTTGTTATTTCGTTTTTTTAGTAAATAAAACCCAAAGTCAAATTAAACGGATCCAAATCCTAAACTAATCAAATTCAGCATAAAAAATTTCTATATGATCTGAAGAAAATAAAATTATTCGAAATATATTCAAATAACAAGTAACATGAATTCAATTGTTAACCAATATATTTAACGTAAATTAACAGAGGGAGGTGGATTGCATTTTCATGTGGACAGAGTTGTGGAAATTTTGAATCATTGGATTTGACCGTTGATTGGGAGAAACGTTCTTTTACTTGACCCGTCTCTCTTTGACTTTTTCAACGCCAAAGTTCCATTTTCATTTAAGGCTCGTAAATCGATTTTTTAAATTAGGATACTTTGGGGTTGAGTGTTTTTAGAAATCATTTTTGGTGTTTGAATTAGATTCGAGTTTTGATATTGATTTTGAATATCAATATTTCATGAAACAGATATCTAATTTAAAAAAACCCTCTAATTCAATTTCATTCAACTATTTCTATATTGGTTTCGAATTCGATTAATCTGATTTTAATTAAAATTTTATTCAATCGTTTATGTTTTTCGATTGGATTTTGCGTAACTAAACCGAAACATCAAAATCCCTATTAGCAAAAAAAAAAAACTAATCCAAAACTTACAGAAATAATAAAAAAAAGTCACAAAAATTCAAATACTTACAGAAATAATAATAAAAAAAGTCACAAAAATACAAATCGCGTTTTCGGTATACAAAAAAACATTTCCACGGCTTTGCTTGAACTCTGTTTTGTCCCTTTATCTTCCTCTTCCACGGATCCATTTTAACATCATCGCCTTTTCACACAATCTTTCACAAATATTCGTTTTCTTAAATTAGAATCATTAAAATCTTTCCCT